TCCAAGTGTGTGCCTTTAACCACTGAGTTACAGTAGAACAGACTAAACACAGAAACCTTCTCTTTGAAGGGTATGGTTTTATATATATACACACAGTGATTTCTGTATACATGTCCAGTGTTTTCTGCCCTGTGTCCATACGTGAGGCTGTGTTTACATACCATGTGCACAAATATACACATCTATCTAATGGCTACTTGATCAGGAAGGGTAAAAAAAGATCATATTTTGCAGGAAGAAAAAGACTGATCTGTAACTTATGGATCATTTTGATGGAGAAGACATCAACTGACACAAGTTTTTGCTTCTCGCAAATTCTTAAGCCTTATTTATAAAAATAAGCTTATAAATAAGATGTTGTTATAAGTAAAATTCTACTGCAAATATTACCAAATGCAAAATGGGGTGCTATTGAGTGAGGGTCTGAAACTAAACTAGCATGACAAGAGGCGACATGATGGAGTAGAAAGAGCACTGGAATGAAAGCCAGATTCTAGTCTGGAGTCTGCCGCACAGCAGCCAAGTGACCTGAGGCCCTACCCCCTTCTCTGCATCTCAGTGTTTGATCAACAGAAGGAACGGGGTGCATAAAACAAGCTTGAAGATCGCTTCTCACAATATGATTCAATTTTTCTCCCTTTTAGTAAGGAAGGAAAAAAATGGAACCTGTGATAGTGAAAGACAGAAACAAGCAGAAGGCCAGGCAGGTAAGGAGCAAGCTGAGGCTGTGAAAGACTATTTGGATCCCAAATCAAGCTAAGACCTTCTTTCGTTTCTTCCAGCACTGGGAAAAAGTACTACAGTACTTTTGTGGGTTATCTCTAGGATCACATTTATGAAAGACTTTCTTTCATGCCATGAGTAGGAACAAACGTGTTGCAACATTTTTATTACACATGTATTTCGCCACTCATACGTTTCTGGATGGAAACCTGAGGTTTTACTTTTTTTTAAATTTTAATTGGGAAGTAAAGAAAGAGAGAGAGATACTCTATCTGTGAGTCTACCTCCCAAATGTCCACAACCAAGGCTAGGCCAAGTCAAAACCAGGAATTCAATCCAGGTCTCTTTCATGCCCGGCAGGAATCCCACCATTTGAAGCATCTCATCACCTGATACCTCCCAGGTATACATTAAGTAGCAAGCTGGGTTTGGAAGTGGAGGCAGGATCCCAACCCAGGCACTCTGATACAGCATGTGGGAGCCCCAAGTGGTCTCTTACTGCTATGCCAAATACCTACACCTAAAACCCAAGGGTAGAATGAGCAAAATGGTTGGACTGCAAAGCTTAGCCAAGTCCTTTACAAACGAATGAATCCTTTTTTTTTTTTTTTTTTTGACAGGCAGAGTTAGACAGTGAGAGTGTGTGTGTGTGTGTGTGTGTGTGTGAGAGAGAGAGAGAGAGAGAGAGAGAGAGAAAGACAGAGACAGGTCTTCCTTGTACTGTTGGTTCACCCTCCAATGGCCGCGACTGCGCCGATCTGAAGCCAGGTGTTTCCTCCTGGTCTCCCATGGGGTGCAGGGCCCAAGCACTTGGGCCATCCTCCACTGCCCTCCCGGGCCACAGCAGAGAGCTGAATTGGAAGAGGAGCAACCGGGACAGAATCCGGCGCCCCAACCGGGACTAGAACCTGGGATGCCGGAGCCACAGGCAGAAGATTAGCCAAGTGAGCCATGGTGCCGGCCTACGAATGAATCCTAATACGAGCATATGGCTCTGGTACTTTTAACACACACTTATTAATTTTGTGTGGGATAAAAAAATAGCCAAATTGTCATTAAGCAGTAGTGAAACTATTTCTCAGTTACGTAAGGTCTAAACTAAGAATTTATTAATGGCTTTGGTTGCCAATCCCCCCCCCCCTTTTTTAAAATTTTTTGCATCAACGCTGCAAACACCACTGAACTATTTATTTAGTTCACTGCTCCAATTCAGGGCAATAAAACAAAGGTAAAACCTGAGCACAAGACAGAACATGTGTTAAAAAGATAACCATTACTCACTGTATCTGTAACCAACACAACCAAAAGGGATTTAGAAGTTATTTTCTCTGTACCCAGAAGGTGTTTCCATATAAAGGTACATGTCAATATCGCCACTGTATGCTTGTACCACCTGATTTTTTCAGGAGCGATTATTTTAAAAAAGTGCTTTCATCAATCAGCTATCAAAACATTTTAATCCTAAGAAAAGTTTAAAGGAGCGAATCACACAACCACGGGAAGGTTCCGTACCTCTGAGGAGGAATGAAAGGCAGACAGAAGATTAAAATGAGTCCTATTTCAGCGTAAAGGAAAGTTGCAACCGCCACCCACTGGATTGTCATTTTTTTTTTTCTTCACACCTAAACACATAAACACTTATTTAAGTTTGTTTCCTCCGAAAGAAAACCAGGTGACAGAGCTCGGAGACGGAGCGTTCGCGGAGTTCCAGTGTCTGCGCCTCCCCAGACTGGAGGGCCGACGCCGGGCGGGGATGGGTCAGGCGCAGGCCGGGGGCAGGCGGGCGTCTCCACTTCCGCCCAGAGGGCGAGGGCGGCGGCGGGCACCCACCGCCTCCCCTCGAGCCACGACTGAGCGGGCCGCACCCTCCCGCCGCCAACGCCCGGCTTCGGGCCCCGCCGGCCCTCCCTGCCCCAGCGCGCCGCGGGCCCGAGCCGCGCGCCCCACGCGGCCGGAGGCTCCGCTGGCTTCCCCAGCCCCGGCAGCGGCGCCCCCAGCCGCAGCCTGGCGCCCCGCGGGGGTCCCCGGGGTCCGGCCCGGCCTTACCCCGCCTGCCAACCGCCCGGCTTCCCGCGCCGCTCCCGGCCGCCGACGCGCGGGACGTCAGACGCTGCGGCGGGTGGGGGAGGGGCGCGCCGCCCGCTCGCGGCCCCCGCGGGCCCCGGCCGAGGGCTCGGGCCGAGGTCACAGAGGGGGCGACTGCGCTTCTGCGCCTGGTTCGCGTTTCCTAGGGCGCTGGACCGCACGTCTGGGGCGCCCACGTGCGGCCTCTCGGCCTTCCCTGCCGCTGGCTTCCGGCTTGGCGCCGGGGCTGGAGGCGCGAACGGGCGGCCTTGTTGGAAGCGGATTCCTGCCCGACTGCCTGTTTTTGGCGGGGGTCGTTTCTGCGTCCCGAATGAAGCCGGATTTAAGAAAGGGCCAGCACTTTGGCCTGAGAGTTGCGGTTAGGTGTTAAGTTTTCCCATTGTGGTCGACGGGCTGGGCTAAAGAGAGACAATTTGGGGTGCTGGCGGGAAAGATGGGAGTAGGCGTAGTCATTCCGGTAGCCTTTGCCCAAGCAATAACACTTTTTATTCAATTATTAAACTTTTTATTCATATTAACATATACAGAAATGGACAGGAATGTCCTGTCTTGTGGAGAATTATTCTGGGAACACCAAAGAAATGTTCAAGATGGGTAACTATAGGATATGAAAACACTTAAGTCAGAGGCTTTTTTATCACATATACTAGAGCACATGAAACAGGAAAAGTGAGTTAGACAAGGAAGTGATATATTTAAAAAAGATTTATTTATTAGAAAAGCAGATTTACAAAGAGGAGGAAGCAGAGGGAGAATTTTCCATCTGCTGGTTCATTCCCCAAGTGGCCGCAGCGGCTGGAGCTGGGCTGATCCGAAGCCAGGATCCAGGTCTCCCACACCAGTGCAGGTGCCCAAGCACTTTGGGCCGTCTTCTACTGCTTTCCCAGGCCACAGCAGATAGCTGGACTGGAAAGTGGAGCAGCCGGGACTGGAACCGGTGTCCGTATAGGATGCTGGCACTGCAGGCTGCGGCTTTACCCGATACTACAGTACTGGTCAAGGAAGTTTCTTCACACAATGCATTGCAACTGGCCCATCCACAACACCTTGATAAGCTCCTGGTGTGCTCAACAAGCTAGCAGTCAGTTAATTCAAATTCAGATGCTGAAGTTCTCACCTGCCCTACTTCCTTCTTTGAATACTAACAACAAATGAAAAGCCAGTTACCTTAAAAAATGAATTGAAAAATGACAATATCCTTAAGAAAAACAAGGCAGCAGAGTGCTTATGTAAAACATTCATTTAATGTTCCTAAACTCTAAATTGTTTCAGGTAACTGTCTCCTGATAAGCTTTCATATTGGTAAAGTAGAATAATATAGTAATTGTGAACTGTTCGATTTCAACCTGACTTAACTCTTAAGTTTGCATTCACTGACCAAAAAAAATCCATTAGTAACACTGCCAAACCATGATTGATTTCCAGTAAATACAAAAACATCAGTAGAAGCAGTGTGAACAGTAGGCTTTTATATTAAAAATAAAACCTAGTTACTATTGTCTAGGAAATATTTCAAATACATAATCAGATTAGCTGCCAGATTTTCACATTTATGATGTGGGAAGCTGTAGTTAATTTATCTTTTTAGGTACAGGTTTGTTTACCAAGCTCCATCTCCTAATAATGTAGAGGCCTGAAATGTGCCAAATTTAGTATTTTAAAGAATTCCATGGGATCTTGGTTCTAAATTATGGAAATCATTTTAAGTTCTGTAAGACACAATTTAAAGAAAATACCTTGAGGTGTATAATTCAATCAGAAGTGACAGTTTTATTTTCTAATTTGAACTTTTTTAAGATTATTTATTTGAAAGGCAGTTAGATGGCCAGCGCTGCGGCTCACTAGGCTAATCCTCCGCCTTGCAGCGCTGGCACACCGGGTTCTAGTCCCGCTCGGGGCGCCGGATTCTGTGCCGGTTGCCCTTCTTCCAGGCCAGCTCTCTGCTGTGGCCAGGGAGTGCAGTGGAGGATGGCCCAAGTGCTTGGGCCCTGCACCCCATGGGAGACCAGGAGAAGCACCTGGCTCCTGCCTTCGGATCAGCGCGGTGCGCCGGCTGTGGCGGCCATTGGAGGGTGAACCAACGGCAAAGGAAGACCTTTGTCTCTCTCTCTCACTGTCCACTCTGCTTGTCAAAAAAAAAAAAAAAAAAAAAAAAAAAAAAAAAAGGCAGTTAGAGAAAGGCAGAGGCAGAGAGAGGGGTCTTCTTCTGGCCCCAAGGGCCAGAGCTGGGCTCATCTGAAGCCAGGAGCCTCGGGCTTCTTCTGAGTCTCCCATGTGGGTGCAAGGGTCCAAGCGCTTGGGCCAGCCTCTCTTGCTTTCCCAGTCGCTTTAGCAGGGAGCTGGATCACAAGGAGACTGGAACTGGTGCCCACATGGGATGCTGGCACTGCAGGTGGCAGCTTTACCTGCTAAGCCACAGTGCTGCTCCAATCTTTTGAACTTTTAAAGGAAGTCCTGAGTATAATTCTATTCAGAATTTTTTGTTCTTTCTCATTTTATATGGATGTTGCCATTTGTTCTACCACTTCTCTGCACTTTTTAAAATTAAAAACATACTTCTTGTTCACTTATAAATGCTGAGTCACACTTTATTGTATTAAAATATAAGTTTTATTTAAAAATGTTAAAACCATGATTCTTTTAGGAAAAAAAATCCCACCTCCCGCCAACAAATACATAATACAATGAGCAGGATATTCCAACCACATGGGGTCTTACATTTCTGTTCATATCCAGATCTACTGAATCAGAATCTTTGAAGAATAAGTCCAGGATACATGTTTTAAAATGCTCCCAATGACTGTATTTATACTGTAGGTATAAAATATACATGACAATGACTTGTGAGGTCAAATGCTGTAATGGTCTGTAAGGTAATCCAAGACTGCCGATGTGCTTGACAGAGCATTGAATACTCTCTTTTCTTGCCTTGAAGTTATCTTTTCCATCATGTACATTAGGTGTTGATGGAAACACATATATGGAGTTCCAAGTTCAAGGGCGATGTCAACCCAGTCCCAGATGCATTTCAGTGGGGTTTCCTCATATCCAGCAAACATGGCAGGGTTTGCTAAAAGTCCTCTTGCAACCATCACACCTACAAATTAAAGAACAAACACCATGTGTGTCCACACATTATAAACTCATGGTTATTACTTCAAAGTGACGTAGACAGGGGCTGGCACCATTGTACAGGTCAATGCTCTGCCTGCGGCGCTGGCATCCCATATGAGTGCCGGTTCAAGTCCCGGCTGCCTCTCTTCCAATCCAGCTCTCTGCTTTGGCCTGGGAAAGCAGTGGAAGATGGCCCAAGTCCTGGCTTTGGATTGGCACAGTTCCAACAGTTGCAGCCATTTGGGGACTGAACCAGTGGATGAAAGACCTTTCTTTCCCTCTCACTGTCTATAACTCTACTTCTCAAAAGAAAAAAAAAGGTGAAGGAGACAAACAGAATAGTAAAAAATAAGGATATTACAAGTTTCACAATGCCTCCATGTATTTCAATCACAAAACAATTTTGGTACCTTTTATAAACCAAGAAAGTTTAAATCTACTTATGGCATTCCTTATGTTTTTAATCACTTCTACATTAAACATTTGCTTTTGGCTTTTCTGAGATTTATTTTTTATTTATTTGGAAGGTAGAATCACAGAAATAGAGGGAGAGACAGAGAGAAATCTTCCATCTGTTGTTTCACTTTCTAAACGGCTGCAACAGCAGGGGCTGGGCCAGGTTGAAGCCAGGAGCCAGGTGCAAAGAATTAAGCACTTGGGCCATCTTCCACTGCTTTCCCAAGCACGTTAGCAGCGAGTTGGCTAATGTGGCTTAGCTACACCACAACACTGGCACAGTTGGTGGCCTTTTCTTTTTTTTTCAGATTTATTTATTTATTTGAAAGGCAGAGAGAAAAAGTCTTCCATCCACTGGTTCATTCCCCCAATGGCTGCAATGGCCAGAACAGGACTGATCCAAAGCCAGGAGTTTCTTCTGGGATTCCCATGAAGGTGCAGGGATCCAAGCACTTAGGTCATCTTCTACTGCTTTCCCAGGCCACAGCAGGGAGCTGGATTGGAAGCGGAGCAGCCAGGAGTTGGACTGGCGCCCAAATGGGATGCTGGCACTGAAGGCAGCGGCTTTACCTGCTATGCCACAGTGCTGGCCCTGTGGCTTTCCTTTAGGGTAAATCCAGATGTTCAAATTGGGTTGCTTAGTTTATATGCATCCTCCCATCTAGTAATACCTATCATAGAGTTGGGCTTGGCATGCAGATAATTCAAGCAAATAGTGAAACTGCATCACAGCTCTGGGATTCCTTTGACTCCCATACACTTGAGTACATTGACCCTCATTTCTATTTTAGGTGCTCTATTTTACTAATGGTCTATTTGAAAGATACTGACTGGTCACTAGAAAAATATTTATTCCAATTATCTGTTAAAATTATCTATTGTTTTTAGCTAGAAGAGTTGACTTTTTCTTTTAACAGTTGACATTTTAATAAACTGCTTAGCTGTAATCAGTACAATGGTAAAATATGGTTCAGTGTTAGAGAAAATTAAACTAACATTACTCCCTCACTCACTTCTGCTGGTTAAAAGATAAAAAAATCCAAGTAGCTATTTCTTACCATCTGTTCCAGTCACCTGCCACACATTTTCTGCTTCTTTTAAGCTTCTGATGTCTCCATTAGCAATTACAGGTATAGATATATTTTCCTTAATTATTTTAATAGCATCATAGTGCACTGGCTGATGTCTTTCTTCAACAGTTCTTCCATGGATTGTAATCCAGGAAACTCCCGTTGCTTCAGCCTTTTGACAAAGATCTACTGTTCTTCTGAGATCTTCATGGATCCTACAATTTCAAAATTTTATCTGTGTTCATAACACACAAATCTTAATGTTAAAATGGTTAAAATGATATTTCATTTATTACATTTACTTAGCCTTGCTATTATCATATTGTCACTTCATTAGCAAGATTTTATTCAAGGTTCAGTTCTCATCCAAGACCTCCAATTTAGCTATTTTAGCTTTTGCTAAAAAATTTAAGGAGGATGTTCCCTAGAATTATGAAACAATAATTATGACAAATATTTGCATACTAAATGTCTTGCTTAAATGTTTCCATATACCTGGTACTGATTCATTTAGGATAGACACACTCATAGCAGCAGAGAAAAGGAACATTTTCTAATTATCAAGTATTTTACCAATGGATTAAAATGTTGTCCTTACCTTATTTTAATAGAAACTGAAAATCTGGGGTTTTCCACTTGATTTCTTACTTGTTTCACCATATCTCGAACAAGCTCTGGCTTGTTTATCAAGCAAGCCCCATAACCTTCTGCCATTGCCCACCTTTATGAAGCAAACACAACAAATGAATCATACAAACCTAAAGAGAACATACAATCCTGAACGTACTGAAAATACATCTACCCACCTGTATTTCTCTGTGGGACCTGGAAGGGAAGCAAATTTTTAAGACTCATAGATCTAACACTGTACATGCATCACTGAGATTAGGAAAACATGTTTGCTCAAAAAGTACTCAGGAGGGGCTGCTGTGGCACAGCAGGTTAAAGTTCTGGCCTGAAGCACCGGCATCCCATGTGGGTGCTGGTTCGAGTCTTGGCTGCTCCACTTCCAATCCAGCTCTCAGCTATGGCCTGGGAAAGCAGTGGGAGATGGCCAAGTTCTTGGGCCTCTACACCCATGTGGGAGACCCAGAAGAAGCTCCTGGCTCCTGGTTTTGGATAGGCACAGCTCTGGCTGTTGCGGCCTATTGGGGAGTGAATCAGCAAATGGAAGACCTTTCTCTCACTCTCTCTCTCTCTCTGCCTCTCCTTCTCTGTGTAACTCTTTCAAATAAATTAATAAATCTTTAAAAAAAAAAAAAGTACTCAGGAAATGGTTTTCACTGGCAAGTGAGAATATTAAATTAAAATGCATTTGACCAAAGCAAAGTTAAGCATTTGTAATTAACAGCAATCATTTCAGGTTTTTTAAATTCCAAACCTGATGTTTCTTGTGCGTTATGAGGTTTTATTAGTCTCACTAGTAGAAAGGTATTTTTGGCTTAGTGTTCCAACACTGCTAAACAGCTTATTTAACTTTCCTAATGAGGATACAAATACTTCTAACCTGATTTGGATTACACTGCACTTAAAATCTTGACCTGATTCTTTGGACACATTTTGAAGTATTCAAATTATCTAGTGCTTTTATGGTAGAGATATTATTGTCAAATTAAGTACATCCCAGTTAACTGAACCCAATGAAATAACTGCAGTATAGAAAGAAAAGGTGACCATAAAAAGATATTTTAGAGTCAATTAATTAAAACATGTGGCAATGTCCCAAATCACAGAATCAGTTTTTAGAGCAAATATATCTGATGTAGCAGTAAAATCACATTTTAGGGATTGCCTGTAAACCTAAGATTCTCACAAAACTACTTAGGACTTCAAGAGATACACACAAAAATTTTAACAATGTAGGGAGACAAAACATTTATCAAAGATCTAGATAGACATCATTTCAGCCATCAGAAAAGACCTCTGGAAATTATGTTCCTAAATGATCTGTTCTTTTTTTTTTTCTTGTTTTTTAGAGCCCTGGTACTTTAATTAATTTTTGGAAAACCAGAAGATATTTTACCATGTTCACACAGTTTACGTCCTAATATGTTTAAAAATTCTTCCAACTTCTTTGAGCTTTACCTCTGAGGGCAACCACAGTTAATGTCTATTCCATTTGCATAAGGACAGACTATTCGAGCAGCTTCAGATAAAAGTCTTGCATCATTAGCAGCAAACTGAACAATCAATGGGCAATCACCTGGTAAAACAAATAGCTCAATGTTAAAATGTTAAGATTCACAGGAAAAACCCACAAACATAAACACACACTGTAATATTTGTGTAGGATGAAACAATACATTAAGACTAAGAAGCATTTGTTTAAATAAGGTAAGATTAAAAATTTTAAAATCTTTACATTAGAAGCAATTAAGTAAAAATTAATCAGTAGAAAATTTGATAAAACGAAGTCTTTCAACATCAAATCCCTTTTCCAAAGGTGAGTTCACATATTCCAGAACAATTTACCTGTATAGTTTAGACAAATGTTTGCATACATTCTTACACCTATTGTTTTTGTTCCTGCTGTACCTGGGAGATGCATGGAGATCTGTTTTGTTTCAAGTGGCATATTCCACTATTTGAATGGACCGTAGAGTGTATTTCAACTTGTAGCTCTTCAATGAAGATACTTTTGAAAAGATATTTTTTGAGGAATATTTATTGGGTAAATTCCTAGGAGTGTTAACTGTTGGAGGTATCTTAACATTATATAGATACTATCCAACATTTGCATATCTTTCTTTGTAGCTCTTTCTTTGCACATTGACAATTTTTCTACTATCTGTTCCATTTTTAATTGCCTATTTTTATAAAAGAAATCCACCCTTTCTACTATGTGCTGTATATTTCCCCCTAGTTTGTTGCTAGTCTATTTGTACTCTCACACATAAAAGTTTAAATATTTTTAAAAGTCTATTGGTCTACTTATTTGAAAGCAAGAGTTAGAGAATCTTCCATCTGCTGGTTCATTCCTCAGATGGCTGCCAACAGCCTGGGCTGGGCCAGCAGAAAACCAAGAGCTTCTTCTGGGTGTCCCAAGTGCATATAGGGGCCCAAGTACTTGGACCATCTTCTACTGCTTTCCTAGGTGCACACGTGGGGGGAGCTGGATTGGTAGTGGGGTAGCCGGGACTCAAACCAGTGTCCATATGGGATGCTGGAGCTCCAGGTGGTAACTTAACTGGCTGTGCCAGAAAGCTGGCCCTTAAAAGTTTAAATTTTAATGAGGCCATTCTTTTTTTTCTTTTAATTTATTTATTTAGAAAGTCAGAGTTACACAGAGATAGGAGAGGCAGAGAGAGAGAGTTCTTCCATCCGATGGTTCACTCCCCAGTTGGCCGCAATTGCCGGAACTGCACTGATCTGAAGCCAGGAGCCAGGAGCTTCTTCTGGGTCTCCCGCGTTGGGGGCGGGGGCCCAAGGACTTGGGCCATCTTCTACTGCTTTCCCATGTCATAGCAGAGAGCTGGATTGGAAGTGGAACATCCGAGACTTGAACCGGTGCCCATATGGGATGCTGGTGCTTCAGGCCAGGGTGTTAACCTGCTGCGTCACAGCGTTGGCCCCAGTGAAGCCATTCTATCAAAGCTTTCCCAGGTTTTAAACAACATACTTTTCTCATCTTTGGTTTACTGTTATAACCTCTAGATACATATATTTTAACACTGATAAAGTTTTTGTGAGGACTACTTCTAGGAGAGTCAAAGGGTCTTTTTAAATTTTTTAAAAAAGATTTATTGATTTTTTTTGAAAGGTAGAGTTAGAGAGGCAGAGGCAGAGACACAGAGGTCTTCCATCCACTGTTTCACTCCCTAAATGGCTGCAACAGCTGGAGCTGCACCAATCTAAAGCCAGAAGCCGGGGGCCAGGAGCTTCTTCCAGGTCCCCCACTTGGGTGCAGGGGCCCAAGGACTTGGGCCATCTTCTACTGCTTTCCCAAACCAAACCAGAGAGCTGTATCAGAAGTAGAGCAGCTGGGACTTGAACCAGCATCCATAAGGGGATGCTGGCACTGCAGGGGGTGGCTTTACCCACTCGCCACAGTGTGGGGCCCCTCAATAGGTCTTTATCAAAATGCAGATTTCTGGGCATCAACCCAGGTGCACTGACTCAAAATTTCATGGCAACCTAGTGCTTTAGAGAATTATGATATGATAGAAGAATTTGCCTTTTTTCTTCATGGAGAGGGACAGTGCTGTCTCTTTTGCAACTCAAGAGAGTTACAGAATTTCATTTTAACAACCATTTATTGACCCAATATATTTTCAACTCTGTTACATGCTGAGGATACACAGTGAGGCATTTCTATTCCTCTAGCCCTCAGGAAGCCCATCATACAGTGGGAGAGATGGGCATATCAGAAGGAAACTATAATACAGCTAGATTAGGTACAACAAAAGTGTGTTTAGGAGCAAGCACACGTGTGGGATGTGATCAGGAAAGCTTCTTTGGCCACAAACTCTCAGAACTAGAGTAACAAGCATGAACTATATAATTTGCCAGAGAGAGAGAGAGAGAGAGAGAGAGAGAGAGAGAGAGAGAGGTAGAGGTAGATATCTGGGAGACAGAGATGACTGGAGACTGGGAAGAATATTCTAGTTAGAGAAGTGGCAGAGAAAAGAGCATATTCAAGAACATAAAACAGTTTGGGATGTTTGGAAAAAAACACAACTGACGGAAGATGTAGATGTATTCACAGGTTGGAGTATCAAGGACTTTGCATATTATTCTCAGGTGCTGAAATTTTAGTTTTTAAGGGAGTGGTTCTCAAACTGTTAGCAGGTTCAGAACTATCCGGAGGGCTGTGTTTGAAAAACACAGACTGTTGGGGCTGGCATTTTGGTACAGCTGGTTAAGCCACTGCTTGTGATGCTGGCATCCCATATTGGAGCCCTGGCTGCTTTGCTGCCAATCTAGTTTTTGGCTAATGCTCCTAGGAGGGCAGAGGAGGAAGGTCCAAGCACTTAGGCTCCTGCCACCCACTGGGAAGACCGAGATGGAGCATTTGGGAAGTGAAACCGCAGATGGAAGATCTGTCTCTCCCACTCTGTTGTTCTGCTTTCAAATAAATATTAAAAAAAAAAAAAAAAAATCACAGACTGTTGCACCACACACAGTTTCTGACTCAATAGGTCTGGGATAGAGCATGAGATTTTCCAACAACTTTCCATATAATGCTGATATTGCCAGTCTAGGGATTACATTTTGATAACTGTTTTTGGTATTCAAGGGTCCAAGATGGATTTTCAGCTGGGAAAAGATAGGATCAAATTTACATTTTAGATAGGTCTCTTCGGGCTTGAAATGGGACAAGACCAGACACATGGAGTGGAATCTATTCTAATAGTCCAAGCGAGGGGATGAAGGCCTTGAGAGGGGCTGACCTGGGAATAGTGCTGTGTTGTAGTGGGTAAAGCTGCTACCTGCGATGCTAGCGTCCCATACGGGTGCCAGTTCAAGTTCCAGCTGCTCTCCTTCTGACCCACCTGCCCCCTAAAGCACCTGGAAAAGCAGTGGAAGATGACCCAAGTCCTTGGACCCCTGCACCCATGTGGGAGACCCAGAAGAAGCCTCTGGCTCCTAGCTTCAGCCTGGTCCACCTTCAGCCATGTGGCCATTTGGGGAGTGAATCAGCAGATGGAAGATCTCCCTCTCTGTAACTCTGTCTTTCATGTAAATCAATCAATCTTAAGAAAGAAAAAAAAAGAAAAGAGGCTGACTTTACACTCCACTGATCATTTATGAGGCACTCAATAATATTAAAAACATTTTAAAAAGATTTTTTAATATGAAATCTCTCAATTTTGTTGTCTTTGATTAGACCATCTGTGTTAGTTTATAAAGTCAGTAAATTATACATTTTACATACCTTGGTTTGTGGTGAATTCACTGTCTCTGGCTTTTATAGATTTCACAAAATCAGCAGCAACTATCATTGGTGTATAACACAGATCACAATTGTATTTTCTCACTAGTGTTCTAAAAGCCAACCTGTGAACATATAAAACTTCACACATTTAGAAAACACTTAAATCATATGTATTTCTATGCTTAATTATTTATTATGAAAGCATCTGCCTATGGGAAGATGGAGCAGATGTACTTTTTCCTATTGTTCCTACCAAGTGTAATGTGGAAAGAGGAAGGAAGATAGGCTAGTGAACTCAGGTCCTGAGGAATGAATGAAAGGGTAGTGAGTTCCTTGGTTGTGTTTTTATTTTGTTTTTGACTCAAATATCCCAGCCTTAGGTGTTGAAGAAGCTGGACACCTGCAAACACCAGTGGATACAGACAATAATAGCCCTGAAAGTCTGCTCTCTACCTGAAGGACCAGAAAAGGAGCAGCCTAGGTAGAGAAGACTTTAAGATTCTATTCAACCACAGTGCAGAAACAGGTATGGCTTCATCTCCACCTGCAAATGTTGAGCGGGGATCCTGGACTTCCACCTTCCCTAGACTGTAACAAGGTGCCCCAACACCTCTCTATGCTACAGTCCAAGAAGGCCAGGCCCTTCTGGTAACCAGTGCAGAAGCCTCTCAGTGGTAGTGATGGGGACGACATGGGAAGCCTGGACTTCCATGCCTACCTAGCAGCTTCCTTCCTTCCCTGGGAGGATGGGCCTGTGGTCAGAAGAGGCCTAGTGGAGAGTTAGGACTTTGATCATTGCCCGGAAACTATGTGAGGCCACCCCACCATGGGGAGCTGGAACTCTCACCACGCTCACCGTGTCCAGCAGTAAAAAAAAAAAAGCCCCTTGACTCCAGATATCAAAGAAGCCAAGTGGAGAACATGGACTTCTGACAGTCATGAGGTGATGTTTCAGCCTGGTCCAAACCTGGCAGTTATAGCCATTTTGGGAGTGAACCAAGTGATCTTTCTCTCTGATGTTCTACCTTTCAAGTAAATAAGTAAATCTTAAATAGTCAAAGTCATTGTAATCCACTATATTAACAGGGCAAAGAAGAAACATTCAATAATCATATGCAAAAAAACCCATTAGACAAAATACACTTATTTATGATTTAAAAAAACACAACTCAGAAAAACAATAGAGGCTTCTAGTTCATCAGAAAATTAAACAGAATTACTGTATGATCCACCAATTTCACTTCTGAGTATATACTCAACAATAACTGAAAGCAGGGATTCAAAGAGATACTTGCAGCTCTATGTTCCCAGCAGCATTATTTGCAAGGACTGAACAGTCAAAATAATCTGTGTACCATCAGTAGAGGACCAAAAGGTAGTTCACACACAAAACCAATTATTCAGCCTTAAAAAGGAAAAGTCTGACATGTGCTACAACCTGGATGAATTATGTTAAGTGGGGTAAGGTAATCTCACAAAAATAAGTAGTGAAATTCAGAGAAAAATTAGAATAAAGTTGTCAGGGGTTGGGGATGACAAAGGAATGAGAAATTATTGCATAATGTGTACAAGGTTTAAAGTTTATAAGGTGAAAAATCTTGGAGATCAGATGCACAACAAATGAAGTATACATTTGATTAAGAGGTAAATTCTACATTACATGTACTTCACACTAATTAAAAATAAAAACAACTCAATAGTACAAATGGTCTAAATAGAATAGGAGCAAAAGGTACAAGAAACATTTCTTCAAAAATGTACAGATGGCAAATAATCGCGTGAAAGATGGTCAACATTGGGTCTGCCTTCTGCGGTGTTGCTACACTATATGGTTGTGGGTTTGAGTCCCAGCTGCTCCACTTCTGATCCAGCTCTCTGTTAAAGTGCCTGGGAAAGCAGCAGCAAACAGCCTGAGTGCTTGGGTGCCTGCTTCTCACGTGGGAGACCTGGATAGAGTACCTGCTTTCTGGTTTTGGTCTGGCCCAGCCACAGCTCTTGTGGCCATTTGGGAAGTGAATCAGTGGATACAAGGTACCTCCTCCCTTCTCTCCCCACTGCTAACCTGCCCAAAATTCTGCCTTTTAAATAAAATCTTAAAATAAATCAATAAAACATCACAAAATAATACGCTAACAGGAGGAATTAAAAAAAATAAAGTTCAGCCTCACTACAGTTATAATGTTTAAAGCACAGGGCAGGTATTACTTTATACTTACCAGAATGGCTAAAATAGAAAAGGTCACATTATTAAAAGTTGGTAAGGGTGAGGACAAACCGGATGCTACCTACGTTGGTGGAAGTAATGTTCTATAGAGTTTATCAGTTTCAAAAATAGCTAAAAAGACAACTGACATGTGACCAAGCAATCGTACCTCTCCACATTTGTCCCAAGACAAATGTTAATTCAAAAAAAGCTGGACTCATGTCTACTATATACTCATAGGTAGGACTTACAAACAGATATAAAGCCTGGAAATACTATTTGTTTGTTTTAAAGATTTATTTATTTGAGAGGCAGAGTTACAGAAAGAGAAGTCTTCTATCCTCTGATTCACTCCCCAAATGGCTGCAACGGCTAGAGCTGGGTTGATCCGAAACCAGGAGCTTCTTTCAGGTCTCCCATGTGGGTGCAGGGGCCCAGGCACTTGGGCCATCTTCTTTCCCAGGCCATTAGCAGGGAGCTGGATCAGAAGTGGAGCAGCCAGGGCTAGAACCAGTACATATATGAGATGACGGCATTGTAGGCAGAGGCTTAACCTACTCTGCCACAGATATACTGCCTGGATATACTGTTTACTCTGGTCTCACACATTCAAGGCATGGAAGAGTCTTAGGACTTATAGTATTATGACTCCAAAGCTAGGAGTTTTAAGGTCCCACTTTTTAAAAGTCAGAGCATAAAGGGAAATCACATCTCAGTTCATGACACATTCAACAACACCTACTTTGAATAGCGAACCATTGGGGCACAGACTTTTACCAGCTGCCCAGAATGAAACATTTCTATTGGATCTTTTCTTCTTTCTTGACATACTGTGGCTGGTATGCCGTCACTTTTCATGAACAGATTGGTTTCAAATCTGAAATCAGAGATAGTTTGCACAAAGAAAATTATTTTCATTAGATGAATTCTCATCATTCCAACAACTTCAGTGGGCAATACTACATATTTTCCATCAGGCTTGTGGGGCTCAGAAAATTTTTTGCTTCTTTTCATGGTATCAAACAGGATACCAGAAAATTCTGCCTCTATTTGTGAGATAAATAAATATGGAAGGCTACACAAGGAATTTGCATAAAAATGAGATGTGGAAAACTACATTATGTTCCTAGCATATCATATAGCGATTTTTCATGCTTTTAATTTTTTCCCTGTTATTATGCTTGGTATTGATAAGCCATGTATGACTAGCACTTTAAAATATTTAATTCTTGGCATTTACTCAGGAAAGATCTATATCTAGAGAACAAAACTAGTCAGCATTTTAAAAGATAGCCAGGACTTGAACTAGCATTCTGATATGGGATGCTGGTGTTACAAGTGGAGGCTTAACCCCCTGTACCACAACTACAATTCCCCCTGGGCTTAGTAACAGAAACATACACATGGGCCAAGTTTAAAAAAAGTCTATTTCAACCATTTAGATAGTAAGTGGAAACTAAAAATATGGCCAATGTCTTTAATTAAGGATGGCACACATTGGAAGTAAGCTTCAGAAGCACTGCCATTTAAGAAACAGGAAAAATGAAGTGCAAAGGAGACCAGGACAGATGAACATGGGAGCTGGGAGGAACAAATCTGAAGAACATTCGAAAGCCAATACAGGAGAGTACTCTAAGCATTAGAGAGGGGATTAACATCTTAAATAGCACGGAAAGGGGAAGAAGACGAAACAGTGTCAGTGGAATGAGCTCATTAGTGACTTTAGCAAGAACAATCTCATTCTTATTCTTGTACTCACAGTAAATGGCACAAAGAAGGCCTGTCAGTACGTATTTGTTGAATCAATGAGTAGTTTTCAATCTTGCACATTTGAATGACATACAGAGCTTTTAACGATCACAATACCCGAGGTATACCCCAGATCAATTAAGCTGGAATGTCTGGGTTAGGGATACAGGCATCAGTGGCTCTTAAAGCTCTCCAGGTGATTTCAATGGGCAGTTAGGTTGTACTACTGGAATGAATAAACCCATATATTCCATGGCATCCTGTACATTTGTTTTAATGTCTTTCTACCTTACCTATCAGCTCCTTTAGGATGTGAATTTAGTGTTATGCTTGTAAACTCATGCCTGGATGTACAGTAGGGGCTCACAATTTTTCATTGGATAAATGAATACTATGCATTCTTCTAAATCTTCCAACATTAAAGAAAGAAAAAAAAGCCAAGGATGGAAAAACCACATGTAATTCACAGATACTGCTGTTCATTAATAGTCAAAATTGTGAATCAATTAATTTTGTGTATTACAGCTGAAACCTAAGGTGAATCTGAACACACAGACCTTGGCAATTCATGGGACCTCCATTTGGAATAGTCAACCTTCCTGGCATTATGATAGAGATGAAACAAATCGTTTTAGGGAAAAACCTGAGACAAAAATGAACAGAAAGCAAGATGCATTGTAGCATGAGCTTGCTCACCTGAGTTGTCTCGAATACGAAATGACTGAAGATTTAAAAGGGACTTGGAACAGTGTTAAGCATAGGCTCAGTTCTATCAGAGCACTTTCGTGCAGTGCTGTTAGCACATGGTAGAGAATCATTCAATTCTGGAGTTGGAAGGAATTGATTTCCCGGTTCCAAACCTACTGTATAAAATGGAAGTTATACTACAGCATCTTTCTTTTTAGGAAGAAATGCTTATGCAAACGCGTCCACACCTGTTGACCCTGTTACTTGATCGGCATTTACCTTGGGAGAAACCTGGGTAATTAAAGCACAAATATTAGCAGAGATGTAATCGGAACCAACTTGGTGATTTTATAGCTTCAACACCGTTGAGTTCCATCAGTTTCTAAGATGAAAAACCCTGGTGTCACTCATAGCATGTGGGTTAAAACTGAGAGAGGTAGGAAAGTAAAAAGGCAAGAACTCTTGGGACCGGGCGCAGAGACAGGGAGTCTCCCTTGTTTTTTTTCTGATTCATACTTCAACTCTCCCTAATGCTCCTCACTTTTCCTCGCGTGCAATTTTTCTTCCCATACTTCCCCCTCCCTCCCAAGGCTGCCACTCCGGGCGTGGGACACATAAAGCTGGGTGGCCACTCACTCACGCCTGCCGACAACGTCTTGCCTTGAGCCGCCAGGCCCTGGATCTCGGTTGAATACTCGCTTCAGCGGTGAGCGCGGCGGCCACGTTCCAGCGCCCCTCTTCTCCTTGGCTGGGCCGAGCCGGAGAGAGCAGAAAGCTCTGCCCGGAGTCCTTCGAGACCTTGGCGCGCGTCCACTCCTGCGGCCCCCGGACTCCCAGCCAGGCTTGGTGCAGCCGCCACCCAACAGTGAGTCCACCCGTGGGGTTAAGAAGCGCGCGCTGTCGCGGAGTGTCGTGGGAGGGGGTAGGGAAGAGGAAGGCGGGCGGCGCCGGAAATCTGCGTCACTACTTAGGCGGGGCCACTGACGCCATCAACCCGGCACCTGCCAACATGGAAGGTGGCGACGGCAGCGTCGCCGTATCTGGCCTTGGGGCTCTGGGCTCTGCAGCGGCTACGGCGACAGTCCGGGAGCTCCTGCAGGACGGTAAGGAGTTTAGGGCTGGCCGGGTCGTGGGGCTAGGAGACTGCCCTGCTCCACGTCCGGGACTGGGTAGTGGACTCAACCCGTCGCTTTGCAGAAAGTTTTCCGGTCTCGGCGTGACCACTCCCTTCGCCCGGCCCCCTGGTGTCCGGGTGCCGGCCTAACCAACCTGTTTCCCTAGGGATTTGCAACCCCCCTTCCTGCAGGTTTTTTTTTTTTTTTTTGGGGGGGGGCAATTGGTGTCTGGTTGCTCCTCATTTTAGTGCAACTTCCCACGCGCTCAGGGCTCCCCTGAAGTTCCAGGATCCCGCACTAGGCTGCCGTCGCAGTTCCTGACGGAAGGGTGAAGTGTTTGAACCCCTGAAAAGTGTTGAGACTAGAACAGATGGCAGACGCTAACGAAAGGGCTCGTTTTGACGTAGAGTCGGAAACGCCTCCGTTAACAAATTCTGAGACAATACAGGTGGCCCCTGTTGCAGGCTGTCAGCCGCAGGGGAGGGTTCTGAGCATTCCTTGCCCTTGGTGTGATTAACTGTGTCGAATGTAACATCTCTTGATAGCCAGTTTTAAAGAGAAGTTACCAAAAATAAAAGTTAAATATAGTACACTTGGAAAAAGCACACTTGGTTCTCCTAACCCAGTTAACATGCCCCAGATCTCTTACCCTTCAGAATGAAGTTGAAATTCCTAAGCATAAAAATAAGGCCTGCCTCAGGTGTTCTGAATTTCTTCCCTTGTGGCTGTCACGGAGTACCTGCATTAAAAACATCTGTATACCTGCCTTTAGCTCTAATACTGTGTTGGAAAGCTGCTTTTTATATTCCACAGCGTCAATGACAGTGTCTTGCATACAATAGGTGATGTATAACTGTTTTATAATCGACCACCGTTAGAAACATTTCACAAACATTTGTAGACCAAATTGGGTTATGAATGACTGAATTAAAGTTAGAAATTGTTTTCTCTGTTGGATATTTTATCACTGTTCTTGGTTACTTATAGTTTATATTCCGTAGTCAAAACTTTTTTTTTTTTTTTTTTTCTGAACCTGACTGTGTTAGGTTCTCTAGGTTGAGGTTTCTGTCAGGCACCTTTTAATTGTAATTGAACCAGGCTTGGGCTTGTGCTGCGTGGACAGTTCCTGTCTCCAAGCAGCTCACCATTTAGTAAGTAAATAATATGGCATAGCTATGTAAGTACACCCTGGAATACAGTGCTGTAAGGGCAGCAGTTAAGAGTGTACACACTGAACATTCGGAAGACGGTAACTGGGGTTGGGGACAGGTGAGGCAGTGTCAGGAAAGGCTTTCCAGGTGGAGTTAGTTGTGAAGTGTAACAGACTTCCCCAGGTGAACAGATAGCAGGAACAACACACACCAAACGGTAGGCCTATGTTTTAGTAGGATGCATTGTAATCAGTTCTTAGAGGGAAATAGTCCTCAATTCTGCTTTTCTTATTTAGTTTTCTTTGCTGTTCTCTTCAGTGATTTTTTTAAAAAATCCTTTTTACCTTTTCATACGTTTTCCTTCAGGCTTGAATGATTTTCAAATTTATTAAAAAAAAAAAAAATGGAACCCATGAGATTTGAACCTTTGTCCATGTCTCTCCCAATCAAACCTATAAACTTAACCTCCACCTGCAATCTTGCTTGCTTTTTCCGTATTTTCAGTTATAAGAAGTGGAGCCCTTGGCTGCTTCCTAAGGATAGCCCCTTCTGTTGTGGATTTTCATTCTATACCCTCGGAGACCCTAGGAAGCCCCCTTCAGTGCCATTGAAATTGCTTGGTAGGGTTCTCCAGTGACTTCCTTGTGGATGAATGAAATGGATGTTTTTTTGGTCCTTATGTTACCTGAACTTGTAGCAGAGTTTGACTTCTTGTTTGAAATACTTAAGTGGCTTATAGGTTTCATGCTTTCTAAAAATTTCTAATTCTTCAGATGCTCTGTTTCTTGTAACTGCTTGTCAGTTCCATTTCCCCCCTGATTGAGTGGTCTTCACCCCTTCCCTCACTCCCAACTTCCTGAGGAATTTATTTCTTTTGGTAATTGATTGATGACATCAGAAGTTTGCAGGTAACAGATGGCAAGATTGAAAGGGTTGGTGAGTGGATGCATAGCTTGACTGTTTGTGAGGTGTTTCTGATGTACCTCATGTGGGAATGAGGAAACCATAAAAGGGAAGCATTATATATGACTTCTCTCTTTAAGGACTGTAAGTCTCACAGTGCCAAACCCAACTGTAACCGTGCTTTGGAAGGTCTTTGCTACTACCAACCACTTAATTTTCTTTTCTTTATGCTCCTTTGGATTTTCGCCATTCTCTGCTGTTCATCTTTCTTTCTCTAGTCATTCTAGTATCCTTGCCTTCAGTTCCTGTGTCTGCCCCCAGAGTTTTGGGATTTTCCTGGCTTCTGAACCCTGTCTTTCCCATTTCATCATTTTTCATGCATTCTAAAATTTCTTCTTAAATCATCTTGTCTTTTCTTTGTGTGGTTTCAGAATGGTCCTCTTGAACCTTCTTTTTAACTTTCTACTGGACATTCTTTTCTTGAGAGTAAATTAACAATGCTAGTCCTGCACATGAAAACATACATGTGAACAGATAGTACAAATTCTGCCTTTGAGAAAATGAAATGAATTTTTTTTTTCCACTCCTCTCCCCTAATCTTTTCCTGTGGTAGTCTCTGTCACTCCTACTTGCATGTGGTTGGTTAATGTGTGCTTGTTCCCTGTGTAGATTATGAGTTCCTTGGAGGCAGGGGCTTACTCTTGTTCATCTTTGTGTATTTAGTAACTGATGATCTAGCACAAAACTGAATTCCCTATGCCAGTTACTTTATCAAGAAACTTGGGCATGATCCTTGATTTACTGTACCTAATCACCCATTTTTGACTTGTCACTAAGTCCTGTATATTATACTGTCTGAATATTTGTCACTTTCTTGACATTCTTAGTGCCACACTGAGGCCTTCATCACGTCACTTGAGCTGTTAACATAGTACAGTACTGGGCTCTGTGGCATATTCCATGATCTTGCTGTCAAACTAGCTTCCTGGGAAAAGAAAAAGCCCTGATTTTGTAGGTGCTTGTTTGCTGATTACCATGGCCGATTTTACAATAACTATGAGTGATGTCAGCTGGTCAACGGAATTCCTGAAAATGTACAGTTGGCTCCCCAACTCAAGCCAACTCAAGCCCACAGCTGTTTCATTAATGCTTTGCAGTCAGTTTTCATACCATTGCCAGAATTATTGTTGAACACAAAGCTGACAGTGCCCTTTCTTGGCTTTGAAACCTTAAATGGGATGTGGGTTGAATGTCTTAAAAACCTCTTTTCAAAATGCTCCTCAATCTTTCTCTAGAACCTCATCTATCACTCTTTATTCTTTCTGCCCAACATATGTAATTCTGTGATATCAGAATACTGAAACTGTTACTCCCTGTGTTTCTCAATTGTGCTAGGCATTGCTGCTAAACCTTCCCTCTGTTTGGAATGACTTCTCTACTTGTCTGTCTGGCTGGATCCTTAATTCTGAGAACCAAGACCATAGAGTGGGGGCAGAGGGCTTTTGGTTGTGGTACCGGTAGGAAAATGCAAGCTACGTTAGGTTGGACCTAGGCAGACAGCTAGGGACAGGAAGAGGAGCTGTGTGGTCAGGAGAGTGGTCTCTGGTTAGCAAGCAACACAAGGGCATGCATTTAAGAGATACACTCACAAAAACTATAAATAGGGAACTTAAAAAACCAAAAAGCTGAAGATTGCAGATGAGTGAGATAAAGGATGAAAGCCCAGGACCTTCAGTTAACAAACTAAAGAAAACTGAGAATGGAGACACTTGGGACCAGAGCCTGACCTAATGGGAGGAATGGCATATAAGAAGGCAGGGTGAGCTTTTTCTTAAAAGGGCCCTGTACAAACTTTCCAGAGCGTGTAAAACCCCCAGATCACTTTCTTTCAACTGCTTTTTCCTTCTGAAGAAGCCCTTCCTGGCTTCTTTCCTTAGTATCTTCTCTCTGTGCTTTTTTTTGTTGTTGTTGTTAAATTTTTTAAGATGAAAATAAATCTTATTTTTATTAATTTGAAAGGCAGTGTTAGGGAGAGGGAGAGAGTCAGAGAGATCTTCCATCTGATGGTTCACTCCCCAGATAACCACAACGACCAGGACTGGGCCAGGCTGAAGCCAGGAGATTCTTTTGGGCCTCCCATGTGGTTGCAGGGACCCAAGTACTTGAGCCAGCTTCTGCTGCTTTCCCAGGTGCATTAGCAGAGAGCTGGATTGGAAGAGGAGCAGCCAGGACTTTACCCACTACACTACAACACTGGCCCCTTCTCTGCTCTTTTCAGTAAGACATTTCTGATTCAGAAGGTCCATGTCACTGAACTGCTTGGTTGTGAGAGCTGTCTGTTCATTTCAGTAAAACTTTGCTTCACCCTTTGCTTGCCCCTCTGTGTCACTGTGTTAATTCTTGGCTGATATGAGGCAACCAACTCTGGTATCTAAAGACAGCTGGGACACACGTGCTTGCTTCAGTCTAACGGTTAAAACACCCGTGTCCCAGAACAGTTTGATACCTACCCCTGGCTCCTAACTCCAGCTTCTTGCTAATGGGCACTTCTTGGAGGTAGAGTTAATAACTCAGGTAATTGGGTTCCTGCCACCCATATGCTAGACCTGGTTGAGTTCCTGGCACTTGGCTTTGGCCTGACCATTGTGGGTACAGTGGAAGTGAACCAGTGGATGGGTGTGTGTCAGAGCCAGCATTGCAGGCATATTTTTACCATGAGCTCCCTTCCTATGTATATATTTTGACTCATTCCATTTTTCTTTTACCCACAGATTTGTGGATTTCTGTA